GTAAAATGTGTTACTTACGTTTGCATAGGCAGAATTTAATGTATTGTATCGTTTTTTGTTAATTCAAAAATTAATATATAATGGAGCTAAAATTTTAAATTTAGCCATCATTCATTCTTCCTCTCAATCTCTTTAAATTTCATATCAATCAATTATTTAGAAGTATAATCTATTTTTATCTATTTTTAACTATTTTGTTTCTATTTTTCAATTCATATTCAAAATAATAATTTAATATTCTTTAATAAAATATTTGAATTCAAAAATGAAGTAATTTTAAATAATAATAAAAATAAACAAAAGATTATTATGGATTTCAAAAGATAAAAAACTAATTACTATTTAAATTATTATCTTCTTTTACCGAATATTTTTTATTTCAAATATTCTGCTTTATATACGTTACTTGTACAAAAGGAGGATGTTTTACAAGACTTTTCACAAGAATAATTGACGCATCAGAAAAAATTTATACTACAGTTATGTAGAGTTATGTAATAATAACAAACTTAAAATTGATTTAAATTATTACATTGTTTAAAAAAAAAATAAAATAAAAATATTAAATTTATTTTTAAGTTAATTTGTTTTTTGGAATTTTGTAATAATTTTGTAATATATATTTCTTATTTAATGCAAAGAAAAAAATTTAATACAAAAATATTTTATTTCTTAGATTTCGATTGCTCTGTCGTTTTTTAAGCTTTTTAAGTTTTAAAAAAAAATCATATCGAATTGAACATAAAAAATTAATTTAAAAATATTACTTTATTTAAATAAATTAATAATTTCAATTTAACCAATGGCACAATAATCAAATATATATATATATTTATATATATATATATAAAAATATTTTGATGAAAGAGGAATTAAAATTATACGAATATTAAATTCTTTAAACCAATTAAGTTTAAACGCCAGTAAGAGTCTCAAATTGCCGAATTGAATTACACAATTGATTCAAGGCAGTCGTCTTCGTGCTGAGTGGGGATAATGAACTGTCAGTTATAGAATCTTATGACCTGTTACTTGTGGAGTCATTACTGTACATACATACCTATCTATATTTCCTATCTTCATACTCTCCTCTTCTTCACTCTTCTACACACGAATTCGGTCGACGACCAAGCGAACGAACCGTGGGAACTTTTCTCGACTCTGGGGAAATCGTCGTCATACATTGAACACAGTTTTGAATACAGTTGATGAAATTCTTGCTTTCGCCGCGGTCGAAACGCTGAGAATCCGTTTGTTTCTACTATCTTGTCCCTAAAAAGCCTACCTTAAACATATCCCATCTCTTTATATTATCTCTAACATTTTTCAGGGGATCCAACACTCAGAGAGGCGGTAACAGGTATATCACCGCCGGTCGAACGTGATCATCAATTCTATCTCGATGTTCTACCGATGATGGGCACAGCGTTGAGAGCTAAAGCGAGAATTCAGATAAATCTGGCGGTTAGTCAAGTACGGGACATTAAACAGGTCGCCTCGTTCCCGGATATCGTTTTCCCGATTATATGGTTCGAAGATGTGAGTATACGTACACTGTATCCTTAGTTGAAATATTTTTTTTTCGATATATAATGTGAACACTGGATCTTTTTATTATTTCCTTTGCGATATCCTTTTTAAAAAAAATTAATCAAAACTGATTCTTGATCAGTAATATATAGCTAAGAAAAGTGGCAGATTTATACTCGAGCAAGAGAAGTTCTTTTGTTCACCAAATATGACGCTGTATGATCTTATTTGTAGAATCACTTTCAGCCAATATATGGGCCGATTTTTAGAAATGTATTGGATTTGGAAGTCGATCGATCAGATTCGCATTTTTTCCATTATTAGGGTTTTTTTGTCAGTTATAAACGATATATAACATTTTCTGACTTTATATAAAGAATACATAGAAATTAAGATATATATTAAAATGTTGCATATGAAATGTCGTTTTTAAAGAAATTAATAGAATAATATTATTTATCACATAATAGAATAATAAATATTATCACATTAAAGAAGGAGAAATTTATGTTATGAGAATGTTATAAATTACATATATCAAATATTAAAAAAATTTATAATAATCAATTGTGTGGATCATTATAAATAATAATATGATTTTATTATTTAAATTTATATATTGAAAAAAATGCTATATTTGAAGAAGATTAAAGATGTTCCCTATTTTAAAACGATCAATAGATGAAGAACAAATAAGAATTGTATATAAAATTTGTTGAATTATTAATTGGAAAAGTTAGTCATGTTAGAATTATGTAGAACTTTAATTAAGTATGTATAAAGAAAAGGATATAAATATGGAATATCCATTTAATTTTTTTAGTGCTGAGATCTTTAGAATAATAATAAATAAAAAAAATTAAATGCAATTTTCTGAAAAATTTCATGGAATATGTTACATTTTTTAAATTTTTTTTAAATAAAGAAAAAAATCGGTTTAATTAAACATTAAATATATTTGAATAGTAGTATAAAACTGATATTTTTTAGGGAAATAATTTATATTAAAGTATTAATAGAAAAATTTTATCGATAGATAAGCATATAAAGTATATATAAACAAGAAAAATATGATAAAAATATAATGAAAAAACTATAATTAGATAGAATAATTTATTTTGTTTTGGAATGCAAAATAAAACTGCATGTAAAGTATATATAAGCAAGAAAAATATGGTAAAAATGTAATAAAACAATCATAATTAGATAGAATAATTTATTTTGTTTTGGAATGCAAAATAAAACTGCATGTAAATTATACTTTCTGGGCTTGTACAATCATAAATCCACAATTAACATATCTTCATAATTCATTTTTAAAATCTTTGAAAAATTGTAATTGTTATCAAACATATCTCATATTTTTACCAATTTCACTTTCACTTCATCATATAATTAAGAACTTCAAATCTTCATTATATTATAACTACGATACTTATATTAAAACTACGATTATCATAAGTAGAATTTCTGTTTTTTTTTTTTAAATTATAAAATAAATTAAAATAAATTTCACAAGTTAATAAGCGTAGAAACTTTCTATTACGATCAAAACATAAAACGTTCATTAAACGAATGAATGATAGAATATGTTAATTGTCGTAATATTTGAAGCAAATCATTAGCAAAATTATCAAAATCTAGTATTTCATATTTCTATATTTCTTCATTTTTCCTCTATCTTTCGAATAAACATAATCTTTCGAAAAAACAACATTTCATGTGCAACCTAACCTTATATCCTGAAAATAACCTATATATCCTATTATATAACATATAATGATAAAATATTCAGATAAAATATTTTTAAGTTTAAACGAGGTCGGTACATTGACCAGCTATCATAATATCTTTATTTTGATTATATCCGACTGTCACAACGAATCGATCGCGTGGACACGAATCGCGATTAAGAAGCGATTAGCACTTAGCGACGGCAATGGTAGCCGATGATATTAATCGTGCAAATAGGCATTCGTGACGGTAATGGGAAGCGCGAGTGATTCGACGCCTCCGACGTATCATTGTCTGTAATATGATTCATTTTGTTGGAATGACCGTTCGTGTCGATAATTTATTCTTGCCATTGTCATTTTAATCGCCACTGTATCGCCACTTATCAACTACTCGTCATAACGATCAGGATTGATCGAGAAAAATTGACGTGTTAACAACATTCACTCTATTACAGGGTATCGATGAGCTTCCGGAAGAAATGCGAAACTTGATGAAGATGGCCGTGGACGTGCCTCCAATTGCTCGAGCGGCGGTATCTGGAACTCTGGCGGCGATAGGCGCGATCGTTTTGATAGGAGCGCTCTTCTTCCTGGTGCGTGCCGCTAAACGACAAGAGAAACTACATCTGAGCAATCCGTTACCGTCTAACGCGACCGCGAGCAAAACCGGTCAGCTAAACCCTGCATTCCAGAATCCATCCGATTCCAAGTAGAACGGCCGATCTGCCCAGTCTGCCGTTTCTACATCTTTCGATCTCGAGCGTGAAGTTGCGCGTATGCGTCGACCCTTGTACGCGGCAAACTTTCACCCTAATAGGTTTTTAACGGATATAAATCGAGAGAGCGAGAGGCGAATGGAGAAATTGGGTAAGAGTGATCGGTGTCTTATCGTCATCTTGTTATCATCGTTCCATTCCGCTTTAGGAATGAAGAAAACAATAATAATAATAATAGAGGAAGGGGGAAAGGACAATTACGATATATATATATAATCTTTTACGAGAATTCGAACGAATTTTCTAGTTGGATATTCGACTGGCCAGTTTTGAAATTATTAGGAATCGTTTGCATTCCTATAGATTGTTGCTAGTGCCGGTTCGGAACCAAGTTAATAATAAGAAAGCGAAGCGAAAAAGTAGGAAGTACGCGAACGATTTGTGTGCGCGTGCATATTGTATATGTGTGTATATGTGCTGCTGTGTGTGTGTGTATCTGGTGTGTGCATGCGCATGCGTACGAGGGAAGGGAATTATGAAGGAGGGAGTAGCAGAAAAGTGGGAACAGAAGTGACGTGAAATTACTAATAGTGCGGTGTATGGCGAATTTCTATCGTGGAACGAGTTGCTCTATCATCCGTCGCATCGTTGCCATCAATGATATTAAAAAAAAAATTTTCGTCCATCAATCGATGAAAAACTCTCGCCTCTCGTAACCGTCGAATGAAAAAAAAAAAAAAATCATTCCGTCCAGCAAATACACGATCACGTGTACAAGATCATCGACGTGAGCCGAGTAAATCGTCTTTGGATTTTGACGAATCTTTTGGCGGCGATCGAGATCTTATTGTTATTCCATTATACATTCGTTTATATGTATTTCGTTGTAAACGCGTTAACTTCAGATAGACTATGGTTAGATTTCTAGATGAATTTAGTTTTTTACAATCAAGTATGAGGAAGAGCTGGAGTGGGTAGAGAAGGTGGAGGTGGAGGAAACGACAATAAAGTAGCCAAATAGTTTTGAAATCCGGATTCGGATTCGAGACAATTTCAAACGATGTCGTGACAATTTAATAATAAAATTATGTACGACGAGAATATTCGCTAGTTGATTTCACCATGTATCGGAAATCTGCTGCCGGTGTACACGTGTGAACGAATGAATTGTTCATCTTTGTTTTTCAAACTTGTCTGTCGATATGACATAGGTTATCGATGCAGATATATAAATATAAAAAAAAATCGTAGAAAAACATCTTATAACATACATATGGCTGCAATTAATAATTTTGCATCGTTATTGTATCTTATTATTTTGTACGTGGTTTTTCTCGAAGGAATATGAACGCGCGAGCGCGCGTCTATCTTGTACTATACTGTTATTGCGATACAATTGAAGCGAGCATAGACGACATTCGACAGAGGGGGATAGGTCTGTAATGATAGTCGTATGATCGATTGATCGCGTATAAAGTGGCGTGATCGACTTTTTTTTTTTCTCTTCAAAGTTATTCAGAGCGTGATGAGCATCGAGAAAAGGAATCAATTGGCCAAGTGAAGGAATTAACAATAAATTAGGTCGTTGATGCCGTATTCTCGGTGAAGTCGTTAAACACGCAGTGCATAATATCGTCATCCACGATCGTTCCGTTACAATCGATTGAGTTCAGTTTCAGTCCGCTCTGAGACCGGTCGATCGAGTTTCGAATCCAGTTTCGTCTCGATCGATTCTTTCGTTCTTTCTTTCGATTCTTTCCTTCGTCTCGATCTTTCTTTCTTCATCGTGGCAAAAAGAGCGCCGAACGAGATGATCGCGCCGATCAGACTACACCATTGAAGAACAGCTTCGATGGCATTCACCAAATAGTGACTTCTATACAAAATTTGTCGAAGCGACTCAGGTATTTCGCCTATTCCGGTATCGAGCCATATCAACGGCAGAATCAATCCATCTTCGAGATTTCCGGAGAAGGGAATGCCGACCGCTTTTCGTACCTCTACGTTCATTTGCAGTCTCATGTTCATGTTCACCGTGATGCCTAAACGCTAAAACCAAAATTTATATTTTTTAGATGAAGGAGTTTTTTAATTCTGAAAAAAATAATTATTCTGACAAACTTCCAAAAATCCAAATTTAATAAATATTTTACAAGTGCAAAATATACAAATATACAATATACAACAGAACTGCAAAACGAAATTCATCCTGGAAAGGATTTATGAATTTTCAACACAAACAATGTAATCTGATCCGCGATCGAATATCCGTAAGACGATACTAATGTAATGATAAAATTTGTTTATTTTTGTTTTTTTTTTAACGAAACTTTTATGAAAATATTTGAGATTTTTGTGATCAAAATAAAACCAAACACAAATGATATAATTTGTATCATATTTGTGTTTTTAATCAGCGATAAACAACTTTTTTTTTCTTCATTAATATAATATAAATCATATCGCTGTTTGGTCTTATTTTAATCAGAACAAGGTCACAAATATATATGATAAAAAAGTTTCAGACATAGAGAAGAAAAAAGCAAAAAATAGAAAAATTATATTAAGTTAGTATTGTTTCATCAATATGTTCTTTTTCAAGTATATATTTTCTTTTCTACTTCTACAGCAAAAAACATAAACTCCGAGTTTTAGTCAAGCCATTTTATTAAAAATTTAAAATTATTCTAAAAACAAAATTAAAAATCAACATCTCTTTCTAGGAGAATTATTGCAATAAGTTTTCATTCTTTTAGAATTTTCTGCAATAATAGAATATTTAATAATTGTATATTTACCGGATGAAGATCGATGTAACTTTCGTGACGTTCTTGTCGAGGTTCCAGCCCGACGATTTTTTCGAACAATGATTCATTACCCGTGTAGAAATGAGGGAAGGAAGCGATCATCGGTGTCCCAAAGTTGCAGGCAGAAACGTTGAGCGTTCCGGTTGGGGGACATGTTCTGATGGTTGAATCGTGCGACTCCTTCGGGCAAAAACACGAGTCTTTGTTGCGAGTCGACGCAAAAACGTTGCTCGATAATTTGTACCTATGGTCATTCGACTGGTGAAGCGTTTCGATGGACGACATTTTCGCCTGCGCATTCGTAGGTAAATTTCTTTCAAAACGAAGAGGAAGAAAGAAAAGAGCTAATACTATTGAGAGCTCAAATTTCATTGTTTCCAATGTAATCGTAAAAAAATTTATATTGGTCGGAAATTTTACATCTACAGGTAAGTTTATTAGTAAGTTCATGCGTGTTGATGAGTGAACAACAAAGTTGGGAAAAATTTTTAATAAAATAACGATTTTATTAAAAAAATTATTCATGTATAAATCTGTAACATTATTTAAGAGAAATTTATATTATAAATAAAATTTTATTCGTTATTAAGAACCATTAGTGTAACATCATATACTTACATTAATCTTAATCTATATAGGATATCCCAAAAATGTAGAAATTGATTAATTGGAGAATAGAAAATAAATGGAAATTTAATTTAAACTAATAAAGTAAATAAGTAAAAAAAGAAGGAAACATTAAAATAAATATAATTGAAAACTTTATAACAGATTCATTCTTATAAAATTTAAGAAAATTAAAAAAATTTCTTTTTCGATTTAACATTAGAAATAAGAAAACATGTTAAAATATATATTTCTATATAATAAATAATTATTAAGTTAATAAATTTTTATTTTAATATTTCGAATTTTTCAAATTTAGAGAACATTTCAAATTTGCATAAAGTAATAAAAAAAATTTTAAATTTGAAATAAATTGTTCATTTTTTTCATCGAATCTGTATCAAATTTATATTAAACGATAATACTTTTTGCATAAAAATATAAGTAATATATATAATAATGATTAAAAACCTATTAAAAACAAATTTGCATTCGTTCTGAATTATATATTATTTAATATTTCCTATAATTTAAGTAAAATTGTATCGTGATTTTCAAAAAATCATTAATATATTAATATAATTTTTGATAAATTGAAAAATAGGAAAATTATCAAATCAATAATCATCATTCTTCAACCAAAGGCGAATTCAAAAATTACTGCTTTTGATTTCGATTTCATTTCGATTTTTTCTTTTTGGTTTTAGAATGATATTTAAGATTATTCCTCTATGTTTATTCAAATATGAGATTATTCGTTTTTAATGAATAATTTCATTTATCCGAATATTTGACTTTGCTTCTGAGCTCCCAATATACATATATAGGTCATTCGATAGAAGTAAATAGAAAGTTTAAAAAGAGATTCTAAAAACTAAAATAAAAGAGATTTTAAAAACAAAAATATGCAAAGATATCCATTGAAGCTTATCTTTTAAATTATAAGCAATTTAATTTTATGTTAAATAAGATTGCAGTAAAACGTGACGATTTTATCTCGATCATATTTTATCTCCATCTCGTTTCACCTGATGCAAAATTAAATTGCTCATAATAACAAGCATTAACATTAATGAAAATTTTTGCATATTTATAAGTTTTTGTACTTATTTTAATCTCTAAAATCATTTCTTAAATTTTATACTTGGACATTTTTCAAATAATAAAGAAAAGAAATATATAATGGTTCATTGTAGTTTTCCATATTACAATGAAAATATTTAAGATTAAGATCTCTCTCTTATTCCATCTATTACATTTATATAATTTATATCTAATGATACATTGTTTCCATTAATAAGAAATAATTTGGAACTGTTTATAACATCTTGAAAAAGAAATATTTTTTGCAAATTAAATGAGTTAAAGTGTGTGTTGAAATGTATTTGATAAATGAGTTAAAGTGTGTGTTGAAACGTATTTGATAAAAGAATCGATATTTACAAAATTGATCTGTCATTAATATTTTAAAATATATATATAATTATAATTTTAAAATATAAAGTTAAAATTTTTAATAGTGACCATTTATATGACGCCTTCATTATCATGAACATTATTTTATTCTTAATTTCTGTTATAATCATATAAAAATAACTAGGATAAATTTCTTGAGATCCAGATCTCAAAGAAGATTATAAATCAAGAAGATCAAAGATATGAATGCAGCAGAGCAAGAGAAAATAGTAGAAGAAAAGCGAAAGTTTATTTCGAATGAATATACAAAATGAATATTTATGGTATATAAGTAGAAAAACTAATAAAATTCATGAAAAAAAAATTAATTAAGGAATTAATTTTTGATGATTTTTTCAAAAGATTATATTATTACTTTTATTATTATAAAAATTCAAAAAATTTATTTTCATAATACATATTAAATTCAATTAAATTATTTTTCTTTTAATCATGGATAACTTTACAAAATTTAAACCAGTTGAAATTATATAAATTTTAAAAAAAAATATAAAATTGAAAAGTCATGTTACGATCCTTTTCTTTATTATTTGAAATATTATTGCAAATAACACATCATTTATTTCATATTGTAAACACAAAATAATATTATAATTATAATATAATTTAAAATAATATTATTTGAAATAAATATTTCTGATAATTTGAAATATTTATTTCAAATAATATTATATTATATTTGCATAAATTTGAAATAATTTAAAATAAGAAAATAATTTATTATCTGAAATTGCTATTACAAATGAATCAATATTATTTATAAAGTGTTATTGTTACAATATTATTAATATATTCGTAAAAATTTATTCTAAAAATCAAAATAAGTTATATACAAATTATTATACAAAAATTGAAGCTTATTTATTAAGTTACAAATGATTGAAGTTTATGTTAAATGAAACAAGGCAGAGATTACAAGACAGTTTTATTTTTATCAAATAGCTGCTTCGTTCTGTCTATCTCGCTTCATCTAACACAAACTTAAATTGCTTATAATTTATAACATTTTTACATACTAATTTTATGTATTTGTTTTGGCTTAAAATTCATGCTCTAAATATTTCCACGAATATATTAACGCCGTATATATTTAAATAATAATGTTAAAAATAAAGTATTTTAAATAATCATTTCTTTTTCAATTTCAAATAAAATTCTGTTAAATATCCTATCTACTTCATTCGAACATCCTGTATAAAAAAAAAGGAATCGGATAGAAAGCGGGATGTATATAAAACAGTGATGACTCACCTCAAGGTGGGTATGCCGTTAGAAAAATTACGATGATCGTAATGAAAAGGCATTTTCCTGCAAAAATCTTTCGCATAAATGAAGAGCGTCTTATTCAGCTGGTTGATCCAATGCGGTGGAAACATACTGCCATCAGTACCATAGATTCGATCGCATTTTTCATCTCCCCAAATCTGATGATTTTCAATCCCGTTAATTCGCTCGATTATCCCAAGATTATCAGTTTCTGAGTGTATCGTAATGCGATCCGGACTTGAACCGTTATTCTGAAAACCGATTCATGTTAAATCAGCATATTTCTTATTTTTAATTTAGAATCGCATTAAATTTTGAGTCGCAAAATAATAACTGTTTGACTACCGAAACTGTCCGAAACTGGCCGAAGTTACCCGAAAACATAACTGCTGAACCGCGCCAAAATATAATGTGTAATTTTATTGTACGTAAGATGAACTACTACTTTATAATTATTATAAATAATTTTTGAAATTACTTAATAAATAAAATAAATAATTTTTGTTATTTATGTATAAATTTTTGAAATATTTTTTATTTGTTATTTAAACAAAAAAAAAATTATTTAAACTTCAATTTCATCTATTGTAAAAGTTATGAAATCATAAATAATAATTGATTCAATTAAGTCCAATTTAGGTAATATTTATTTACTTTTTTCTATTTAAATTTGGTATAAAATTTTTTTGATTATATAATTTTATCTTTATGAAATATAAAAATTAATATATATTATATTTACTTTTTCCTTATAATCAACTTAAAGCATTTCTAATGATTTCAAACTTAAAATTAAAATAATATCTTATGTAATTAAATTCAGATTGATATATGCAATCTTTAAAAAATGAGAGTTAAGCTAGATAAAAGGAGATTACTATGCACTATTATTTTTGAAGTATAAATACAAGAAAGAGATATATGATGAAGAAAATAACAACAATGAATCTTAAAATGAAAACAAATATATATATGAAAAAAATAGATATAACTAGTAGCGATTATATCAAAACAAAGTAAAATATGAAAATTATTCAAATAATTGAAACAAAAAAGAAACAGAAACAGAAAAATTTAAATTATAAAATCAAATATAAAGTGCTGGTATAATAAACTATAAAACTATATTTTTTAAAAAAAATTATGGTTATATCATTTAACTAATCACTGTATCACTGTATCACTGTATCATTATATCACTATATCACTGTATCACCGTATTACAATTTTTTATATATTTATTTTTAAGAAAAATATTGCAATTTTTATTATAGCACTATTAGCAGTATATTGATCACTATTACTAAATTCAACACAGTTTATATCATAAACAAAAACATCTACATTTTCATTAATTATAGACATAATTTTTCTTTGAATTATACAATGACTTCAATTTATTAAATTTTTATATTATAAATTTTACATTATAAACTAACATATTATTGAATTACAGAAAGAATGAAAAGTGGAGTTCACAAAACAAGCATAAGGAAAATGCAAAAAAATATTATTATAAATATACGTACGAAGGCGAGAAGTCCAAATTTATCCAGAGTAAAAACCGAGCGTAACGATGAGAATCGTTTGGCCACTTCATACAATTCGTCCTCATAACCCCAAAGGTATTGACCGACCGATAATTCGAGAAAGGGTTCTGCACGTATTCTCGAGAGGAACATGGTCAATCCGATTTGAAACAGGTAACTAAGATTTCGAGAAAATGCGAGCGTCGACATCAACATCACGTTAGGTACAATCACCTTTTCATTCTCCGATTTACCAGAGATCCATTGGTATCTTTTCCTCTCCTGATACGTGATCGTGCCATTCTCGTGTATTTCGACGTTCACCCGGCTCAAATTCTCCCGATAGATGAATGGTCCAACCTCCTCTACCTTCAATTTAGTCGCGTTTCCGCTCTCGAACTCGCGCACGTTCGTGTAATTGAAAACATAGATCTTGATTTCAAGGTTAACAGGCGGCTTTTGCCAGAGCAGAAAGGACGAAGTACCATTCTTTAACTCAAGATTGGAGAGGATCGTATCGTGAAATACGCTTGTGTACCAAAACAGGATGAACATCGTGACGCTGATCAATGCAGTGAATCCATATAGCCAACGAACGTGCTGTCTTCGCGTTCCTCCGTTCAAGCTCTTTTGAATCGCCCGCGCAATATTTTTCTTCTCCATAATGTCGTTTTTAAAAGAATTATACCAACGTCAGTCGACTTATCTTTCTCAAATTAAAAGTCTTGAAATTTTTTTTTCAAATCGATCGAATTTTTCAAATTCCCGTTCGACGAGTCTTTCGTCGTCTTTCGATCACTTTCGATGCGTTTTCGACGCTCTACTGAGTTCCGCGGGACGATCACAACGATCACAACGACGTACAAAAATCTCCCCACCTTTTCTCGATTCATCGATAACCTCATCGTGACAGTGATGACCTCCGCCACCAAACTTGGTACGTTCGAATCCTCTTCTTACCGTTCATAGCTTCTCTTTTCTAGAAAAAAAAAAACAATATCTATTTTGATTGTTATTTATGCTTTAAACTGATTTTGCGCTTCGATATTATCACTACCAATCGTCATTTGTCCTTTGTTTTTGCCATTTTGCGCATCATCTTGTTTTCTTCTTTTCTATTTCACTCTCCATTTATTCCATTCTTCTTCCCCCTTTCTTTTTAAAAAAAATTAGGATTATTCGTTCAATTCTTTCCTCCATTTATTCCCTCTATCTCTTTGACAGTTGTTTATTCAATTTGTCAATTCACATTTGTGACAGTTGATCTTCGACAGATGAATTCGACTCGAAATTGTACGTACGATCCTTGATCGATTTATGTCAAACATGCTACTACCATTTATCGGCCGTAGACGAAAAAATCCTCAATGGCGACTGATGATAACATCGGCATATTACCATTGAACCAAGTTTCTTGAATCAAGCCGATTTACGAATCTTCCGACTTAGTAGTAGTTTTCACAGAGAAGAAAGGCACATCCTTCCTAAAAATTGTTTCAAGAATGATTGACAGATATTTACCCGGATTCGATTTAAATTCTTTTCCCTCGAAAAATACGAGTTAGATTCACGACATAGTGTCGCATCAAGCTATGTCGCGAAACATGTTTCGAATTTATCGTAAGACGCTCCATATGTTGTGACTGGCAGATGCCCTTTTCACCCGTTTTCTGTTGCGATGTCTCGTCTCACGTCATCAGCTTTTACCATTTCTTTTTTTTTTTTTTTTCGTAAACGATATTTTACGTCAGATACAATAATTTTTTATTATACGTTGCGTCCCACGATTGCACAAGAAATTGTTCCAGTTTTCTCAATCCGGTAAAGCGATAAATTTGTATTTATTAGTTAATTACATACTTACTTCGAGTTTATCAAACAATCAGCCACGTTACAATCGCGTCACCACGCATATATCTTTATATATCTTTATCTCTATATACAATTTTCGCGAAATCATTTATCATTCCTCTTCCTTCCTGCGATATACAAAAACGACGCAGAATTCGAGAAATGTACTGTTGCGATGCAGTATGTTAATACAGGATGTGCAGGATGTTAATACATTCGTGGAATATCTTTGAAGAGGCTGAAACAAACGGAAAGGATGGTATACAAAAATATTGGTTAAAGTTTATTTATAAAATTAGCAATTGAAATTTACATTGTTTCAAATAGAGTAAGATAGCTTTATCTTTGTCACATCGTCATTTGTATGATAGAATGTTAATATATTGGTAGAATAATTCTTTAGAGAGTTAATTCTAGAAGGTGAAACAAACACAAAAATAACAATAGATTATTTATTAAGATATAAGTTAGTATTAGATGAAGGAAGATGGAAATAAAATAGGACAATTGTCTCACTTCTTCTAATGCAAATTTAAATTAGTCATAATTTAATGTAGCTTAATAAATAAATCTTAATCATCATTTTTGTATATCAATTTTTACGTTTGTTTTAGTCTCTAAAATCGATATTCCAAATTATTTTGTCAATAATTATTGCTCGAACAATGCAAGAATTTGAAATATTGACATATTGCATAAACTTTAATACTTTTCTTCTTACTCTTTGCTTCAATCTTTATTATATTACTATTGAAAAAAATATAGCAAAAATCTTATGCTATATATTACAAATGATATAAGTATATCATTTTCTTAAATTAAAATAGATGAAAAATTTATATTATTTAGAAATCATAAATAAAGATGAGAAAATAAAAAAAAAATATACTGTATAATATATAGTTAATCATAAATACAATTATTATATTAAAAACAATAATTTTATTTTATATGAAACATTATGAATATTTAAATCATAACAAGTTATATATGAAGTAATAAAAAAAATTATTCGAAGAAATATTTCTAATATTTTATTGATTATTATTAATAATGAAATCAATCCTTAAAATATTAATATAATTTTTACTTTTTTAAATTTTTTGATAAATTTAACTTAATGATAAGTTATAAAACAAAATTCTAAACTATAAAATAATTAACTTTTATTTATCCATTATCTTGTTATAAAATATATTTTATAGACGAAGTCATTATAAATTAAACGTGAAAAAAATTATGAAATTGTTCCCAATATAAAAACCGATATATTTTGATATAATTGATTATATTCTACATCCATACAAATTTTTATTATCATATACAGGGTGTTAATAAACATGAGAGACACCTTCGGAAAGTGAATTCTAGACATCAAAACGATGAAAAAAGTTCATATACGCATATGTCCAATAAAGCTTAATTAACGAGTTATGAGCATTTTAAGTTTATATTAGATAGAGCGAGACAGCGAAAGAGCGAGACAGCGAAAGAGCGAGAATGAGATGCGCGACAGTACCATGTTACAATATTGCTTGCGTGAAGCCTCAATGAAAATAAATATACTGATACATTTTTATATACAATTATTATTTCAAATGAATTTCAATATAAAATAATATACAATGTACATAAATATCATGTAATGTAACTATGAAATATTTTTATATCATTTAAAAAAAATTTTAATTATGCAAATTAAAATCTATGTAATTAATTATTTAACAGAAACTTACCTCAAAGACAAATTATAGCAAATTCCATAATATTTGGAATTATATGATAATTATACAATATATATTTCATTTAAAATCATAAATGAATCGTTGTATTTTATTCAATCTGCGGTGTTTATCCATAAAAGCAAATCAAAACACACTTCTATAAGAATTAGAAAGGTTGAATGTGTTTTTATACGTATAATTGCTTTTTTAATTATTTTCATATATTATTTTCATATATAGAAATACTTGAATCAATTTGAATTTCAAATTATTAAATTATCCAATCAAATCATTGACAAATATTTATTTCACTTGCACTAAATATTTTTCATTCTTATGCAAAGAGAAATAATAATCGATCTGGATATCACTTATTAATAATATAAATCAATATTAATATTACATATTAATATCACATATCCATAAAAATGCATATCGCAATTGTTTTTTTTATGTATGCTTGAATGAATATTACAAATTCACTAATTTTTATTTCTAATATACATTACATGAACGAACTGAATCTATAATAAAGCAATACTATCTTAGCAACGGGAAAGATTATTAATCTAGGTTTTTGTATTCTTATACTTAAAATACACAAACAGTAACATTCGATTTCGAATATTATTATCTCATTTTTTCTTTCTATCAAGTCTTTCAAATCTCTTTTTCTAATGCCCAGCATTTAATTGTTAGCAACGCTATTTCAGTAACAGATTGTCGCAGGATCAGTTCAGAATTTGATGAAATAATACATATTTGAATATTTGTGATATTATAGTATTATATTAAAATATAAATATTGAATTTCAACTTTTTTGTTTAGTAATCTCATATCGGAATAAAAAATATTAAATTTAAATGAAATAGAAACAAAAGTTTTTCAATTGATGCTTCAATTGGTCTATGAATTTCAAATTGATTCAAGTATCATTAATCTTCTTGTACATGTGAAGATAAATAAGTTTACATATAAAAAAATACATTCAACCTTTCTAATCTGAAATCTTATGGGAGTATATTTTGATTTACTCCTATGGATTTCGGTAAATAGGCAGATTGAGTGTCATACAACAATTCAACTATGGATTTAAATAATATGTTTGTACTATAAAATAATTTATCTATAGATTTATATAAAATGGTGTATATGTTAATATTCTGGAATTTACTAAAACTTATTTCAGGTAAGATTTTGTTAAATAAGAAGTTACATAATACGTACATTATATTACATTACACTAAAATTTATTTAAAATAATTAAGTGTATATAAAAAAGTATCAATACATTTATTTTCATTGAAGGGCTCCGTTGCGCACGCAATATTGCAATACGGTATTGCCAGCTGAGCGTTTCGTTCTTTCACGTTTCGTTCTTTCGCGTTTCGTTCTTCTCGCTCTATCTAATACAAATTTAAAATATTATAATTTGTTATTTAAACTTTATCGGACATATGAACTTTTTTCATCGTTTTGATGTCTAGAATCACATCTCTAAAAGTATCCCACATATTTATTAACACTCTGTATATATAAAATCAATATTTCAAAATAAGTAAATTTCCTTGTAAGATACGTATGAAAACTTTTGTGACTAACTATATATACTATTATATATCTATTATATCTATGATGTATATACAATGTATCAAAAGTTGCAGTAAAAGAAAATTTTATGTTTTTATCTTTAAATTATACTATTATTGTAATGATTATTAATTATATATGTATAATTATAAATGACGCATGCTTTTTTCAAGACTTTTGAGAATAAAAATAAACTAAAACAAAATTTTATCGAAATAAGCTAACCGGCCTTGATTTATTATTTATATTTATTATTTTTTTTAAACTATTATAAATTTTATAAATTTTATAAATTTTATAAATTATATTATTATTTTTTAAATTTATCTAAAAAAAAATTGCAATGTTCGAGAGATAATTGTACTGTTTCTGTTTGTGATGAGTTATAAGATATAATAAGCTATCATTCTTTACAAGAAGATCGCCTTGAAATCAATCGATTGTATGACGCAATAATAATATTAAATTTCTTAATTCGAGACTTTTATTGTAATTTAAATAATTAATTTAAAAAAAATTCAATATTTATAATTTTAATTTTTCTTTTATTAAAATATTCTTTAATAAAATATATTTTATATTAAATTATATTTATATAACTTTGTCGATAAAAATAAAACTAAATACAATAAGTGTTAAATGATAATTAATTATAATAATTATTTATTTCATTCATTTTTATTTTCTTTGATTCTCATTATTCTCATTATTCGTTTTTTTCATTGTTACTATCAAATCAGAAATATTTGTAGAATATGAAAACGAACTCGAATTATTAAGTTAAGAATTTTAGATTTTTTTTTAAAATTGATATTGATTAGTTTCAAACTAATATTATATGTGGAAGCATTATTAAATATGTATTCTATATGTTTGTATTTAAATTTATAATTCTGAAACCTGATGACTGCGGCTTAATAATCGATAATTCATACTCAAATATAATTAAAAAACAAACGCTTTGAATGTATATTATTATCTGCAATTTCTTTTTCACATAATTCTATCTTTCTTAATTTAAAAAAAATTTCGAATGAGAGGGGTTATAAATGATATGTTAAACTTGATTTATCGAATTTCAATTGGTTGCAGCAGTCGAACGATATCGATAGTCTGATAATTTTTTTCCAGATGTGTAAATACACATGAGTGACGTATTGTTCATTCAAACACATGATCATTTATATATATCAGTTATTGTTTTAACCAATAGCACGATTCATGCAGTTTTGACATTTTTATATGATTGGCATTTGACAGTTAAAACATTTTTAATTTTTCTATTATTTTCTGCTATTATTATATTACAACTTTGATATAATTTTTGAAAAAATAATAATCACTCGATATACTTTTTTACGTTTCACGCGGTGGGAGATTATAAAGTCTCTGCACACTAATTCATAACGCGGAAGAATTCATTGACACTTGATGTACGAGATACATGAATATTCATAGTTACATAAGTATCAAATAGTACATGCGTGAACAGAATAGATGGAGTAATTCGAAAAACATCGCGCAGCGTTGTGTTTAGTTTAAGATAATTTTCGATAGATGGCCATATGATGCCCGTATATTGTTGTCTACTCTAAAGGCTTGGTCGATTCTTCCAAGTTGGAAAGTGTATATATTTTTCTGTGTCAAAAAAGTTAAATCTCTTAAAGAGAAAATATTTGTGTATATCCTTAGAAATGAAAGTATTTATTGCTCATTTTTTGTAAATTAATATGAAAATAATTGTATAATAAATTTCATTTTTCGTTGTGTTCATTGGTGAGTGTCGTGCAAACTTTGTTAACCTCAAATTTTATTCTCAAAATTGAAATTCGGAAAATTCAATAAGCTAATTAAATTAAAAGACGCATTTCCTTACAATTGCAATTATATATTATTAAACATTAAGAAAGGAAGATATCGATTACTCGTAGCAAATAACGGTCGAGATTTCGACCAGATTACCCCGATACACCGATGACGAGAATGAGTTCGCAGCAAAGTCCAGCCGCGTTACAATCGACGGTGGATCGTGAAAAAGTTTATACTTGGATAATTGAATTGTCTAATTCAGAAACGAGAGAAAATGCATTATTAGAACTTAGTAAAAAACGAGAAGTAGTACCGGATTTAGCTCCAATGCTGTGGCATTCATTTGGAACTATAGCGTCGCTACTTCAAGAGATAATAAATATTTATCCTGCTATTAATCCAGCTACATTGACTGCATATCAGAGTAATCGAGTATGTAATGCATTAGCTTTATTGCAATGCGTTGCCAGTCATCCAGAAACTAGATCATCATTTCTTCAAGTAAGTTTATCCACAAATTATATTTTGTTATGAATTGTATCAATATTTCGAATGTGTATAATATATATTGTAAATTTAATTATTACATTAAATTTATTCTTTTTTATTTTTTCTTAATTGTTTCTTTTCAGGCTCATGTACCATTGTTTTTATATCCATTTTTGCACACAGTCAGCAAGACACGTCCATTTGAATACCTTCGGTTAACGAGTTTGGGAGTGATAGGAGCTTTGGTAAAAACAGATGAGCAAGAGGTGATCACATTTTTACTCACTACGGAAATAATTCCGCTTTGTTTACGCATCATGGAGAGTGGTTCAGAGCTGAGCAAGACAGTAGCTACGTTTATTCTACAAAAGATTCTACTCGATGATAGTGGTCTTTCATACATATGTCAAACATATGACCGATTCAGTCATGTTGCAATGATTTTAGGAAAAATGGTATTGTCCTTGGCCAAAGATCCTTCTGCTAGATTGTTGAAACATGTAGTTAGATGTTATCTCAGATTATCAGATAATCCAAGGTAAGTGAAAAAAAATAAAAAAGATATAATAAACAATATTTGTTGAAAAATAAACAAGGAACGAATAAACATATAAATATATTTTATAGAGCATTGTTAGCGCTCAGACAATGTTTGCCAGATCAACTTAGAGATAATACATTTGCGACGTGTTTGCAAGAGGACGCATCTACTAAACACTGGTTAAATCAACTTTTGAAGAATTTAGAAACTGGTCCACAACCAGGACCTCCAGCGCAACCAGGTCAACAAGATCCTAGGACTATTGGCATGTCACCTCTTGCTTCTTAAATCGTATGCTTCCTTATATTCAAAAGGAATTCGAAATTGAAAAAAGAGAGAAATTCAACAGATTGATTTTGCGGATTGAAGAGCGATCAATGTGTGATCGTAAATTAATAGACGAAATGCCATCGTATTTTTGATCATGAAAATAGAAATGAATGCATAGTTTCACGAGAGTGATTATGCATTATACATGATAACGGTGGTGATAGTGGTGACGATATCAATGATGTTTACAATTAGCTAGAGAAATGATCAAATATTCATTTATGGAAGAAAAGAAAGAGAGAAACATTTGATATTTGTGAGATGCAGATTTGATAATCTCTGAATGGAACGAACATATGCATATTATATAAACGTGGAATCGTTTCTATGTTCTTCTATATATCTTCTTTCCTGCTCTTTTTTCTTCTTTTCTTCGTCTTCTTTTTTATTACATTTTTCCTATTTTGGTAAATGTTCTCTTTGTAATTATTCTTTGTACAAAGTTTGTAAATTGAAAATACAAGAAAATATATGTGTGCGCGCGCGTGTGCATATATATGTATACATATATATATATGTACATATAATATCATATATATGTATGTACATATAATATACATATATATACACACATGCACAGATGTCTGTACATATATTTGTGCCTATTTTATCTTTTTTTTAATGCTAGGATCGCAACGTAATTTCCACAATTGTCATCTCCTTTTCTTGTGAAAATTCAAAAACTCATAAATATGAACTTGAATGAAAAGCAGACAATTTTTCAAACTTTCGTTACACTCCTGTCCATTTTTTCGAGTTCCACAACGGTTTCCTGCAAATATCAATGAAAATAATAGAATTAGTAATAATAGGATTAGATAATAATAATAAGATAGTAGAATTATGCAGTATATTGATTTTGAGAAGATATTATTTTAGGTAAATAATTTTTGACAATTTTACCTGTTCTCGTTTTGTAATAGTGGAATCACGTAAGAAACTGCGAATCACAGGTGTATATAGTTTTTCATCACCCGGTTTGCATTTGTTTAATCCTGTAATCCATGAAACGAGAAGTCCAACGAGAATCGCGGTTAGGAAACCGACCCATGTATACCAAAGATATGACATTCTGTAGAGAAAGAAGGGTTGTTCTCTGAAAAATAAATAAAAAATAAATAAAGGATCGAGAAAATAATTGGTATTAATCTTCTTACTTGATCGCAGTTTCGACGATAAGCGAAAGATTGGTAGCATGATTTTTGAGTGATTCCGAACACCCTTCGATGGATACTGGTTTCACAGGAAAATGAATTTTTCCACTAGATATGGCTGCTTGAGTGCCAAATGAGATCCAAGCGACTAGATTCAAACTTATTAAACCTCCAACCAGCGCTCCCTGCATTTGGAGTAAAATAAAAATTAATTAATATTATATAATGAAAGAAAATATTCGAAACATATAAGAATCAAATAATTATGATATTGAGACGAATCTCTTTTACATTCGCTTATTAATATCGTAATTACTTACCGAGGAATTTGCGATTGGAAAAAACATGCCTAATGTGAAAATTCCAAGTAATGGTCCCGCTGTAATGCTCGCTAAACTTTTACCAGCCTAAAAAGAAATGAGAACATTATAGGAATATATTAAATAAATAAAAAAAAATATTTGGTTGTGTCAAAAATTCTTTTTGTTTTTTTTTTTTTATATAGATTTTCTATATTTTTAAAATTTTTGTAATTTTATATATTTTAACGATACTTTGTCATTTATAAAATTTTATACAATATTTACAAAAAAGTGTATTTTATCCATATAATATAAATTCTATTAGAATTCTACTTTTTTATTATTCATTCAAAATGACTTCAATTTATACATAAAATATTTGAAATTCTAATGTAATTTTCAATCATTTAAAAAAATCGATATTTTTATTGATTTAAAAGATTTTTTTAATTTATTAATTTTCTAATATTATTAATTAGAAAATTTTCACAGAAGACAAAAAATCACATAATATTTAATAAGAAAAAAATATATATCTTAAAAATATATATATCCTTGATGAAAAATAAACCAGATGTACTGTTTAAATAACTGAAATTATAACTTAAAATAATAAAAAGAATTTTAAATAATTTGAAATAAATTTAATATAACATGACAAAATCATAAAAAGAAAGTTTGTAAATACACCTGAATCAAAGCGCCAAGTTTCTCGACGAGAAAGACGAGCGTCACGCAGAGTATTCCCGTCAATACAACAGTCAATTTCATTAATCTGCTAACCGCTATTTCAGAAAGTGGTATTCGCAGCCATGGTTTTATCATGTCTTCATAAATCACACCAGACATGGAATTTAAACCAGTTGACATCGTGCTAGAAAAAGAAAAGGAAAGAAAAATGATCATCTTTTCTTCTTGTTTTTTTCTTTTTTTTTTTTTATAAGTTTATAAAGTTATAAATTTTCATATTAGAATTCTTACTATTGTTTGGATTTACGTATATCTCAAATATTAAATACTATAGAACATTTATATATAAAAATTTAAATATTTGTTTGGATCCAGGTTTTTTAATTTAGATTTGGATATCAGTATGTATTTCATGTTTATTTAAATATTCATATTCTTCAATTTGCAATTGAATATACATACAGATAATAATGTATGAATGGTACAAAAAAATGGTACAATCATTTTTAATAATTTTTAATAATGATTTGCATGTTTATTACTTTCTTGTTTATTTTGTCTTTCTCATCGATAATTTGATTATTGTCAGTCAATTATTATTATTAAATCATCAGCTGTATTATATGTTAAGAAAATTAATTATATATAAATTATACTGTATGATTTTTTACATACATATATATATATAAAATATGTGAATATTTGTTATATTATACATTTTTTAAATTATTTTTATATACCTATATTTTATAAATTATACGAGGTATAAATATTACGAGGTAGTTTTATATATAATAATATTACACAAAAATTTAGAAGTTAAAAATTTAATAAAAATTGTTTTCTTTAATTTAATTAGAATAATAATAAGAACTTTATTATATATTTTAAATCATTATAATAAAATATCTGAAATTATGTATTTGTATATTCAAATATAGATATTCGAATATTAAAGCAAATTTAGATTTAGATTTCAAATTATAATGAGAATTTGGATAATTAAGAAATCATACATAATAAAAATTAAAAAAGTCATTAGATAATTAGATAAATTAGATAAAGATAAATTAAATAATAATTGTTTTTTAATTGTAATATTTTTGATTGTAAATAAAGAATATAAATGACTGAAAATTTTTTCGTTGTCAATAAATATACATTAATCATTATCGATATAGTAAATTTATTTTGTTTAAAATAATTATCAGCAAAAAAAATTTATTTCAATTATTTATAACAATTATAAATGAGAGAAATTATATTTCGTAAATAATAGTAATTAATAAAGAAGTTTTATTTTGATCATTCATATTAATTATGATATGATATAAATATTATTTCATCAATTAAATTTTTTTGTAATAAGTAAGTAATAAGTAAATATGTCATTCCTATATTATATCGATGATATATTTATGATATATTTATGATCTATATTAAATCGTTTTTATTGAAATTGATTATGAATAATTTAAAAACGAAATTATATTCATAATGGTAAAATATAAAATTTAATTGATTAAATTTCCTAAAAGAAACAATATTTTTTTTTTCATAAAAATTTTTGAAATAATTGTTATTTTTAGTCCCTACAGATGATTCCAGAATTCAGATATTCTCAATAGTAAGAATACTATAGTCTGTCCAATGAGACGCATATAAACAAACATTCATGTGTTCGATTGCTGTGACTATAGCTATTAGTCTCAAAATACAATCATTTGTTGATACTTAGAGATAAACTGGTTATTCTATGATTCTTATGAACTTAAAAATATTAGGACTTTTTAAAACTAAATAAATTTTCCTAAAATTAAATTATGAAAATTAGATTATAAATGACTTAAATTTTTTTTTAGATGTTAAAAGAATTAATTTATTAGATATTTATTAGATATAGATAGATTAGATATTAGATATTTAGATGTTTATATATTATATTATTAGATATTTATATATTAGATATTTATTAGATATATATTAGATATGTAGAAAAATTTATAAAATCATTAAAATTCATGAAAGTATCACATTAATAGATTCATTGATTTAATTTTATTATTTTTTTTGCGATTTTAACCAATGTATTTTTTCGCATATAATTTTTTTTCAAATATTTAGTAAATTAATTCTTTTGACATTTTAAATAAAGTTTAAATTTTGATCCAATTTTAAAAAAATTATTCTAAAGCGTATCCAAATATTTTTAAGATTCATTATATATAGCAGACTTACCGAAATTATTAAATTATAAAACATCTGCATATCAAGTGCCTGAAAACATGCATTACCATCATTTGTTTAGAAATTTGAAATCTATAAGCCATTTTGTCTTATTCATGCATGGATCATATGCACTTGTTTATGTTTATCTCGTCTCATTGGATAGACTATAATTCGTATATACCTGAGAGCTGCACTAAACACACCCGCGACGAAAAGTCCAGGCAATCCTGGGATTGATTCAGTCAATTCCATCACAAAAAATGGTAACAATTGATCCGGTTTTTTTATTTGCTGCAAGATATGAATTTCTTAATTTTTTCTTTTTTTTTACAATGTTTTTCTTTCTTTTACAAAGCCATAAAAAGTTGGAAAAAAGATAGAATACAATGAAATACCTTGGTAGAAATGGGATCGCAATCGTGGAACGCTGCAAAGATAACAATGCCAGTGTAGCAACTCAATGATACGATGGTAATTATTCCGATTGCCATGATCGCAATTGTTCTGAAGAAAATGAAAAAGAGAATGTTATAAAATGACTTCATTTTGGCTCCATCTAAAATGAAAATGTTTTTTATGAACAAAAAGCAATTTTATTTTTCATTTTTCTGACAAGAGTTGTTAAAAATAACTATGAATATGTAAATATTATATTACAAAATATTTATTAAATTCATTATTATATTTATTATTATTTATTAAATACAGTATGAAATTCATTAAAAATATTATGAATATAAAACATATAGGAATGTTTAAATCAATATAATATAAAAAAAATATAAAAAATAATTTAAATTTTTTTATGTTATGAAAAAAAAATCATTTTTATAAAAAAGGATAGATAACATATATATAAAATAAATATCAAAATAAATAAATAAATAAATAATAAAATGAGAGAATAAAATTTGATTGATTGATATTTGATTTGAAGTTCGAAATTTTACTAGAAAGTATAAATGTTAAGAAATTATTATAATTATGTTATTATAAAAATATTATTATAATTAAAAGAAATTATAAACATAATTCACTGTTAATTTAGATTTAATTTATTTCTTAAGTATTTCATTAAAGAAAAAGAATTAATAAAACCATTAGGCATTACAATTTAACAAATATCAAATTTGATTTAAACAAATAAAAATTAACAATTTAATTAACAATTAATATTTTAATTGGAATATATAGAATTAAAAAACTAAAAATTTTCTTTTAAAATATTAATTTTATGTGTTATATATTATTTATTATTTATTTCTTATCTCTGAACTAAAACATTTGCACAAAACATATATTTTTTATTTGTTTTTTTAAATAAAATGTAACATTTTATATAATATTTTGTGTAATATTTTATATTGTTTTTCTCATTACTTTATTAAATGTCTAGTTATTTACGATTATTTTTGAGTTAATTGAAGTCTTTGAATAATTTAAGTTAAAATTACAATTATTATTATTAATTTTTAGTCGAAATCTATTAAATATTAAACACAAATTGAAATTATTTATCTTCCAATTATTTTAATTCTCTGTTTTATAAAAGAAATTTATATCAATAGTAATTAATAATGAATTTTATGAAAATAAAAGATTACTATATTTTAATTGAAAAATTTAATTGAAAAATTGTTGATCTTTGAAACTTAATTTTGAAAAGAAATGTATAAAAATTAATTTTAAAGAAAAAGATCTTTATTTCACTTGTCTTGATTAAATTTCTTTTTAAAACTTTTTTATATTAAAAATTGAAATTTAAAATAGAAAATTAAAAGTGATTTTTTTTTCTAAAATATTTTATAAATTTAAATAATTCTATGAATCTTAATAAATATTTTTCATAATTTCTTTCACCTTGAATGAAAAGTGAACTGTCAAAATTATAATAATTCAAAATATATCATTATTGATGAGATGAATAAAGATTTAGACTTACTTTAATTAATTATTTGAAATATCTTTCCACCAATTAACGAAGATATTCGAAGAGCAATTAACTATAGTTTCAAGTCATTATTAATGAATTAATAAAAAAGCAACTAATTAAAGTTTTTAAAGTTTCAAAGTTACTTTAAATAGTAACGTTATTCGAAATATTCGAATAATCACAGATAATTTCAATATTGAATAGTAAGCTCATCGAAATTATTCGAAAAATGGACAACTATAGTTACAAATAAAAGTTACTGCAGCAGTCACTTCAATTTAATTTTATCGAATAACTCAGAAATTAAAAAATTTCATTTACATTATAAATAATAAATAAAATTTTATAATATAATTAAAATAATACTTAATTTATAATATAATTAAAATAATATTTTAATTGTAAATAATGAATAATTTTTATTTATACAAAAATCATTTAAATATTTCCAAAAATAATTTATTTATTTTTTATTTTAAATTATTTTAAATTATTTGCAAATAATGATAAATAAATAATAAATAATTTTCCGATCTTCTTTGTCTTGTATAATATCAATCGTCTTTGATCAAAACTATGAGTTGATCAAATTTTTATTTAAATAATAATTAATATATAACAAAAAACGTATATTTTGATTGCAAATATGTAAAGCAGTTACTTCTTTTATTTACATAAATATTATTTGAATAATTTCAAAAAAATTTATTTTTTATTTCTTTACATGTAAATAAAATGTTAATTTATATTTATTTAAAATGGAAGTATTACTGATTTTAGTGATTTTTTGATATGTTGTAAAAATTAACATTTTGAACAATTTTTTCTTTTGCATATTACATTTGCTGTTCTCTCTCAGTCTTAGATTTCGAGATATTTAAATTAAAATAACAACTGCGATAACTAACTTTTATTTCATAGTTATAGTTGGCCATTCCTCGAATAACATTAGTTACCGTTAACCACGATTATTTGATGTTTTGAATAACAAGTTATTTTTGAAGTAGCCTTATTCTTCATTTCAATCGTTGAAATTTTGTCCATGGAACAGAATATAAAGTCAATTAAATATAATTAAAATAGATTAATTTTTTAAACTCTTTTAAACAATTAATCGATTGTGAAAATTATATTGAATTCTTTGAAGATTATTGTAATGAAAACAAATAAAAGATATGCAATCTTATATATTATTGTTTTATATGTTTATTAGTTTTTTGGCATATATAGAATTATGGAATTATAGAATTAATTATTTAAGGAATTACTTAATTATTTATTAATGAAATCATATTGAAATTCATTCATATTTATAAAATTTTTTAAGACATTAAAAAAATTAATATCTTATTCTTAAATAATTAAATTAAATAAATTTAAAATTAAAATATTTTTTTTTTATTATAAAATCGATTTTATAATGATATTTAAAATTATATAAAATCATTTAAAATTATATTTTCTTATGAATTTATTAAAATATATGTAAAATCGATATTGAAATCATTCAATTCATTCGACATTAATAAAACATTATGTTTCAAAATAATTTTTATATATAACTTTATATATATAAACTTTGAAGTTATTACAAATTTTCTAATATTAGATACTAACAAGAAACTTATTGAAATGTACTATTCCATTGGAAATGAAATTATTAATCTTATTTAAAAATTAAATTTAACCTATTTTTAATTAATTTATTATATTTAATCTTATTTTTAATTTATTATATTTTGTGTTATAAAATTCTATTTATTGTTATAAAAATCTCAAAAGAGTTAAATATTTAAATACTTTGAATTAATTTCTTAGAATTTTATAATCTTAGGATTATATAATATAAACCATATGACATAAACTGCTATACAGAATGTAAAAAAAAATTTTTATATTCGCTGTTGTTGATAAATCATTTTTAGATCGATGGAGATTTGTTGGAAAATTTTCCGCTTTGCTTCGGAATTTAAAACCAATTTTTTTTTTAATTTTAATTTACTTTTCGTGAAAACTAAATTTATCAAAGAAATCCTATATTGGAATTTAATCGTTCTTATAAAATAAGATAAAAAAATGATAAATTTATATAAATTGATTTTATATAAATAAAATGTTATATGCAACATTTTGTAATATTTTGAATAAAGCGTGTAATCAATGTTATCATTTGACTTTTTACTGACGTATATTGATAATTATAAATAATAACAATTATAATAAATTGATGTTTTGACACATTTTATATTCTTTTGATATTAAGTAAACATAAAAGTATTTAAACTACATTAATTATAGAATGCACTTAAACTTGTTTCTTTCGATAGAGTACTTATTATATTTTCTAAATATATATAATTTATTTAATTAATTTGATATAAAATAATAATATATATATACATAATAATTTAATTAACTAATATATTTAATAATAATAGAATAAAAATTTAATAATAAAATAGAAATAATATGTTATAAATAATATATTTAATTACGTATATATATAATATATATAATAATAATATATTTAATTTAATATTATCACAATATTATCAAATATATTTTATTTAATATTATCAAATTAGTTAAATATTTATATTAATATTTAAATATCTTGATATAATAAAATAATATAAAATATTAAATGAGATCATAATCATTTCTTGTGTTATAAAAATATATATCAACATTCAACAAATTTATATTAAAATAATTTAAATAAGAATTTTTATAATAAAAATTAAATATTAGATTTAATTCTATAACATGTTTTAGATAGTTTAAAGTGTTAAAAATTATTTTTGATTTATAATATATTTTATGTTTTATTATTTTAAAATTTATCATTTTTCTTTAATATTTCTTGTTTTTAATCATTCATTTAAATAAATTTCAATAAGAATTTTTATATGAATGATTTATTCATGCAATTATACGAAACTCGTTATCTTAGTTGATAAATTTGCAATGCAATGTTCTTGCAAATTAAAAATGCATTTTTTTTGGTTTATCTTGTAATGTTAAGCAAATTCTTTTATTTATATAATATTATTTATATAATAAATCAACAAATTATATATATTTTTATTATTTATATATTGTATTATTTATATTGTAATAAAAACTTTTATAATAATGTAAATATTCAAGAAAATGAAATATCTATTGAGTTAGTTATTTTAATATAAATTTGTAAGAATATTTTTATAATATGAAAAATAATTATAATCTTTTCATTTTCAATATCTATTATTTTATTATATTATTATTTATTTTATTATATCAAATTAATAAGTTAAATAACTTATATATATATATATATATATATAAAAGACTTAAGTGTAAATATTATTAATATAATTTTAGTATTAATATAATTAAATATGTTAATATAAAATATAAATATAAATTTTTATGATATATTATATCTATTATATGTACATTAGATATATTATTTAAATCATTATTTTAAAAGAGTGCATGACTGAGAATATATTCTATTTTTTTTTTTCGACAAATAATTCAATACTATATTTGATTTCTTTCACTTTTTCTTAATTTTGAAAACTTCATTAAGATCTCTTTCAATATAAATATCATATGGCAATAAGTATTATGCTTGCATGATAAATATCGATCATAGATATATAAAATATTTTAGAAGTCAATCTTGAACTTGAACTCTGTATGATTTCTAAAGTGATTTCAAACAATTTTTTTTTTTGTAAGAATTTTTATTTTGTTAAGGAGTTATTAATGAAAATATTGATCAATTATAGAATGCATAGTATTAAATATGTATTACTATGATCTACTAAATTTAATAAAGTTCTTACTAAATTTTCAAGAAAAATTTCTTGATTAAGATACGGCAAAACTTTTGTTTTTTAAGTTATGTCAATTATTCTTCTTATGGTTGAAAACAATATATAATTTGATATAAATGTATTTCTCTATATTTAAATCTAGTATATGCATAATAAATAACATTTTTAACAACTGTATATCATTATTGAAAAATAGAAATTTACAGAGAATCACATTATTAAGATATTATTATCCTTTCTTTTATTTATATCAACGTATATAATGTTCTGCCAACTTTTCTGATTGAATTACATATTCGTGTTCAACAAATGAATGAAATAAAATTTCACAAGATTATTGAAACAGAATTAAGTAATAATTTAATTAAGAATTAATAATTGAATTATTAATTTAACTATTAATCGCAAATTAATGATTAAATTTTTAGTTTTAATTTAGTTAAGATCGTTAATTGCAATTAATGATTAAAAATTTAATTTTAACTATCAATTGATCAACAATTAATTGTTGAAAATTTTTTGAATGAAATTTATTTTTTACACAATTGTTTGTTACACAACAATTTGTTTTCAATTTAATGTTGTTCGCAATTAAGAATCGTGGTATTTGATAATGAAATATCCATAAAGTCTGAGTATCTACATAATATTAAATAATATTTGTGCTTAATAAAATGACATAGAATTTTTTTTTATTATATTACTTATTTCAAAAATATCATAAATAATAAATATAAATAATATATAATAATAACTATAATAATAAATAAATAATAACTATAAATAACTATATCTATAAATAGATAAAAATAATTTTAAATGAAAAAATATTATTTTAATTGAAATTTTAATTAAATTTCATTTAAAAATCAATTTGTATTGACAATTTATTTTTTTCATTAATGATTATTCGTTAAATAATATTTGTATTTGTAACGAGAGAGAACTTTTTTTTATTATAATACTTATTCTAAAAATACTATGAAATAATAAATTCAATTCAAATAATTTTAAATAGAAAAATGTTATTTTAATTTTAGTTGTGAAGAGTATTTTTCGTCATTAAAAATTGGCAATTTTTTTGTATTATGACGAGTATATTCGTCCTTTCTTTATTTGTATAATACAATTAAACATTTTTAAAATAGGATAACAAACTTAATTGAAATTTTAATCAAATTCTATTTAAAAATCAGCAATTTGTAATTTATTTTTTTCATCAATAATTATGATTTAAACAATCGATTAAATTAATTAACAATTTCTGGATGATTAATTTTCTTCAATTAAATTAATCGCAAATATTAATCAATCAATCAATCAAATTAAAAAATTCTAATCGATTATTGTCCAATTAAAATTGAAAAATTTCTTTTTCTGCATAATTACCAAAAGATATTAAAAAAAATAATGTTTAATTTTCTGTGAATTCAGAATAACGAATATTTATTTCGAATCTTGTGTCAACCAAATATTTTCTGCCAACTATCATTTTTTTATTTTTTCATATATTTTTCTATATATTTTTCTACATAATATACAAAAATTTCAATTATCTTTTTTATATCTATTTCACATTGATTTAATATGTTTTAAATTTATATCATAATATTTTACATTTCAAAAATTTCAATATTTTTAACGGTAATTGATATTTGATACTACGTTCGATCAAAAATTTATCAATTATAATACAAAAATATATCTTTATATTTGTTTCAATTATTATCTTCTTCTATAGTTATCAAGGATAAAAAAGTTTCTTTTTATATTTTTTTCCAGTTATTATCTTCTTCTATAATTGAACAGTAAGTAAATTGATTCACATGATTCTTCATAATCTTCATAAGAAGATAAAATTTAAAACAACTCACATATTAGCATTCCGTAAATTGGGCATGGCCAAGCATCGTTGCACCATCGCTTGATTGACGGAACAGCTTGCCAACCAGTTTAAGTAGTTGCCGATGACAACGGTCCAAAAAGTGTGCCGCACTGTCGGATCTAAATTCATGCTGTCGATTGGGCAATAGCAATAGACTCACGGAAGCACGGAAGAATGGTTCAGAACAAATAATTTCTTACTCGAAGAATTGGATTCGATCGGTATCGCGATTCCTCTTCCAAACTTCGTTGAATCCTCCCACTTGATTCGTCCCGATCACAGCTATTACTATCACTCCTCCGAACATGACGATCGTCTGAATAGCGTCAGTCCACACGACTGCCTTTAAGCCACCCTGAAAAATAATATATCGAGGATGAACGTTTTCTTATTTTAAGTTTTTAAATATGAATGTGTTTGAGAGTAAACTAATTAATAATTTCGAATTATTAGTTACTTTCTTTCTTTATTTTGGGTTAATGAATACTTTGATTGAGTTATTCTCGAATAATTACTCTCAATATAGCGTCTATTTGTGAAAGATAATGTATTTTGAAATCAGTTCTCGAAAATAAAAAAAAAAATAAATAGCTAAATCTAGAAATAAAATTCATTATTGAATTTGAGTGTATTTTTTGAGAGCAAATTTTGAGAATGAAAAAGTATCTCTCGAAAACAAACTTTAAGAGTGAAAATTATTGTTGAAGAGTTACTCTTAATTGTCTACTCGCAAAAAATAAATCTTGACGATAAGTTTTAAGAATAAAATTTATTTTCGAATTTTATTATTTTTGAGTCATTCTCAAAATTTTAAGATGAAAAAAATCTTGGAAATGAAGTTTATTCTTGTGAAAAATAATTTTTGAATGAATAATCATTTCCAACATACTTGCAAAAACGAATTTCGAGAGCAATTCTTGAAAATAAAATTATCATAACAATTATTCTCAGTATTCAAAAAATAGCTTGAGAATGAAAAATAACTTTTGAGAGTAATCTTCGAGAGCGAAAGTTAATATTAATCATTCGTAATAGTTAATATTCATTTGCAAAAAATAAATCTCGAGGATAATTTTTAAAAGTAAAAATTATTGTTGAACGTTCATACTTAAAGTTTTCATTTGTGAAAAATAATTCTCAAAGATAGAAATCTCGGAAATGAGATTATTCTTATGAAAAATAACTCTCGAAAATGAAAATTACTATTGAACAATTACTCTCAAGTGTTCTCTTGCAAAAAAATAGATCTCGAGAGAATTTTACTCTCAAATATATTCACATTCTTATCTTGATTACTACAAGAGAAATAAAACGAGGACGTCGATACTGCGTTTCGATCCTCTTCTCACCAAAGTGGTGTAAAATATACAAACGGCGCAGACTAGCACCGCGATCGCGTGCAGATTCATCCCGGTAACTTGATTGAACGCCAGAGCAGGAACGTATATGACCAGTGGAATGTACAACAGCTGTAATGATACATCGTTTTAGTTAAATGTATTCTTTTTCTTTCTCTTGCTTCCTCTTATTATCATAATATTTCGAGAGAATAGATAAAGATGAAAAAAAGATGAAGAATAGAAAAAGATGAAATATACAGAGTGCTATAAATTATATTGATTGAAACTTTTTATTCAATAAAAAATCAATTCCCTTTTTTATGAAATTTATATGTTTATATATATATATATATGTTATATATTAAATTTTATGAAATTATATATTTTTTTATGCAAAAATCGATGCATCTTCATACTCTTTTAGAAAAGACTCTACATATTAAGGTTTTAAATCGGAAATTAATCAGTTTTTTTCTAAACTAGTATTATAAGTATATTTAAATATTCATAGATTCGGATATTTTATAAACATTTCGAAGAAAAAAATTAAAATTTTCAAATAAACTCGAATCTGAATGTGACATATTTTATATACATTTTATGAATAATTGTAGATATAAAATATTATCTCACAATCCTATATGGATCTAGATATAAGGAAAATATTATTTCCAAGTAGAATTAAATATTAATTAAATGCTTTAAAAAATTATAAATGCTCGAAACTAGAACAGCTTATTAGAAATTTTTTATTCATAATTTTATTGTTCTTATCGTATAAGATATACTCTCTGTTTTATAAAAATTTTTTTTTTCATTCTTTCGAAAATAATAAAAAGTCCTATTATATCCCATATAGGGTATTTTAAAAATTAACTATTTGATTTCAAATCTTTTTTAAAAATAATACATTAATAACGAAAAACGCTGTCAATCACAGAATGCATAGATTTATCATAGCATTAGATATGAACCGTCACAGAATTTGAACAAACAAATCGAAACAATATGTATCGAAGTTAACTAATTTATTTATCGTTTATAAATAAATTGATAACTTTTTCGTAATAATTATTCAGCATAATTTGACACATATTAGAACTTGTTGGCTATATATGTCATATGTAACAATGCGTTTTGTGATTGGTCCAATGTTTTTTATTGATAATTCATTGACAAGGTTAAAATTTTCTTAAAGAAAAAAATTGAAATAAGGAATTAATTATTATTTAAGTCTTATCGATTTATTTTTGGAATAGTCTATATGCTCTAAACACTGTGTTTATTGTGAAGAAACAAAGACTTACCATTTTTATCAGAAATATCGCGGAGCCCATAAGTCGAACGATGCCATTGAATCGCAGATTGAGATACTAGGAATGTGCAATCGAATGAGAAAACAATTAAAGAAGGATAAGGAAACAATAGTGAATAATGTGTTACCTCGTACGATGAAGTAATGCCAAGACCATAAAATACTGGTAAATATACCACGGCCATTGTCAATGAGACGAACGAATCGGCGATAACCACGCACCATAATTGTGTTCCATACACGTACATTTCTGCTGGGAAGCCAAGGATTGTTATTCCAGATATATAACTGAAAAGCGAAACGAAAAGATTCTTTTCGTATGAGAAAGAAAATGGATTTGAAACTTTTAACTTAAGAACTAGAAAAAATTTGAAATAATTTAAAATTAAGAAATATTGAAAAATTTAAATATTTCTATAAGTACTATTTTCATTTCATAAATATTTTTATAAATATAAAAAGTTTTGATTCCTTTCTCAGCATTTAATGTATGTAATTATTCTAATCGGAATAATTTCTTGTTTTTTTTTTTTTTTTTTTTTTT